AAATGCTGACATAAGCATGGGAGGAGCCATCCAGGAGCTAGTTGAGAAGACAAGGAGCTAGCAGCAGCCAGCGCAAATCAGCAGAATTAAGTGGGGGTGCTGACCAGCAGCGTCGCCAGAATTCCGGGGAGGAAAGATTGCAGAGGGGATGTTGGGTCTTCCTTTGTGCTTTGAAGGATGAATGTGGTTTTCATCATCAGACAGGGACAGCATTTGGGGGGTGAGGACAACAGAGACCCTGAAGAGGGAATGAGCATGGTTCTTGGGAAGCCCGATGTGGAAACTGGCCTGACTGGAGAGGCCATAGTGAGCCAGGGAGATGTAGGTAGCAGATGCCTGGGAGAGCTGACTGGGATGACCCAGAGAGTCACACTTGGACTTGCAGCATTGACTGGAGTAAGGAGCCATTCATTGTGGGACCTCAAACATGACCTGTGCTTTAAGGAGATGTTTGGTACTGGGTAGGGATGGATGAGAGGGCTGGAAATCTGTTATCCGCACAATAGGAAGACATGAGGTCCCAGGCTGGTGTCATGGTCAACAAGACAGAAACAACAGAAGCTTGTGAGGGACGGAAAGATAAAGAGATAGACAGGCGTTCAGAATGACAGATCATGTACAGCTGGCTCCAAATCGTGCCCCCAGATCAGTTATAAGGAATGATTTGGTATTACAATGTCATAAAGATGTAAAATAGGCACTGCCAAGTTTCTAAAGAGTGAGCTGTCTAGGCACTCCTGGGTTATCCACAATACTGGAGAAAAATGGGGACTTCAGGGCTAATGTACCAAAAGCCAACAATTCCACCTGATTTTAACCCTTTTCTCAATTTCCTCTCTTTTTAGCAAATCTGCTGAGCCAACAGTTGTTTTAAATGATTCACTTTCATTCTCTGTCCCTATTTAATTTATGACCGTGTGTAATGAAACAGCCAGCAGGAAGATTCAGGCAGGAGAGGGGAAAAGCGGGTTCTCCACAGCCCCAGACTGTCTTTCTTGGGACAATAAAAATACCCGTCTCCACGAATTTGATCCCGTTGGTTATTTCTTCCTTGCCTGTGTTGATGGAATTCCTGGCATACATTTGGCTGTTTTGCCATTGATGAAACCGAGTAAGTTGTGCTCTGGCAGCAGTGACAGGTAATACTGTAAAAGAGAGTGTGCAGGAAGGTAGAGCTTACCGATAGCTCTTGCAGCCGCATGATTACGAAGGGTGGAACCCAACGTAATCACTGTCCCTTCCTAGGCAGACAGTTCCGTGCTGCCCTCCTGGCTCAACCTTCTCCTGCCCAAGCGAATGAGCACCGACCTGCCTTAGACAGAGAACTAGACCCACAAATGAAAGAATCCTGGGTTAAGCGTCCCTGGATGAAAAACGTTAACACTTCCAGACACATTGCATTGGCTAGGTTTGTGCTCAAGAGCCATGGGAGCGCACCCTTCAGTAACAGGAATGGTACAAGGGTATTGAGTTCCTGCATCTCAGTCACTTTGGAATTTGCACCACTCATTATGTCCCTGAACGTGGTTGCCTTGTGTCCTGTGCATGGCGGGGGTGGGGGGTGGGGGTGGGGTGGCAATGAAGAGATGAGCTTTCGGGGGAGAACGTGAGGGAGCCTTGTGGTTATGACTGGTTCACATGCTGGTGTTGGGGAGCAATCTTATCATGCCGCCTAGAATTGATAGGTTTTTCTGTATCTCAGCTATAGGATCAGCAGTTTGGTAGCCATACACCTATAGCTGCATGATCCCAAAACTGTGATCCATTTTATGCTCACATCTACCTCCTAGACTCTTTCCTTCTGGGGAAGGGGTGAATTCATCCCCCACCAGAAAGAGCATCATCATTTCAGCTCATTCTGTCAACATGTTTTCAGCCTCTTGCTATGTGATATGGACAGCATTCAAGACATTAAGGATATAATTACAAATTATTCATGGTCCTTGTTCTCCAGAGGAAACAACTATGTAACCAGGAAGCACAGTTGAGTGTCTTCAGAGTCCAGTGCCATCGTCTGTAAAAGTGAGCTAATGATGGGGCCCACGTCACAAGCTTGTTGTGAGGATTAAATTGGTTAGACATGAAAAGCACTTAGAAAACTGGCATATAATAAGCCTGGTGGAAGTGCTAGCTCTGATGA